AGTGACATTCAATTCAGCCACAAAATCATCATCAACCTTCAGCTTCTTGTACTGCTCGACCAAAGACTTGGTTCGCTCAATTCCTTGGGAGGCATTATATTTTTTAGCAGGCATTCTCGCCTTGCAGTCGTCCATTCTTGCTTGAAGCTCCTTCATCTGTGCAGCCAAACTGGTCATCAAAGAGTCTTCAATCATAACTTCGGAAGAGATTTCTTTCAATTCGTCATCAGCTTTGTTGATCTCTAGAAGCAAAGACTCTCTTTCAGATACAGCGCGAAGATATTGAGTACTTTTGGCCTTCAGTTCAACATTTTTGGCCAGTAAGGAGAGAATCTCGGAATGGACAACTTTCAACGTCGCTTTAAAATCAGCAGAAAGATTGAGCGACGGAAGTGTCAGTGCTTACGCCAACTTCACACTCAAATGTTCAAGCTTATCCTTATGTTTGGCAGCACTAGCCTGACCGATGTCCATATTTATAAAGGACACATACTCAAATATCGACTGCTTGAAAAACTTCATATCTTCCTCTGAAGAAGCAGAAGGACGACTGGTTGAAGCAGGGCGAGACGTCTTGACTTGTCCCCAGGAAGTAAACAAGTCCTGGATGGAACACACAATCTTATCAGCATCCTGTAAAGACAATTGCCAACATTGAAGGTTTTCACTACAATAAACAAAGTGAAAGTAAAAGTGAAGAAAAGATTACCTCATCAGCAATCTTGGAAGGTGGCATATCCCAAGCCAAGTTTACCACCTATGGTTCCACCACTTGTGAGGACTTCCCCTTGTCTAGGCGAGAAGACTTTACCACAACGGGCAAACCCATGGAAGCATCTGCAGAACTCAAAAAGCAACCAATCAAAAACCAATAGCACAAGCAAAGGTAAAACATCAAAAATGTAATACCTTCTGGTTCGACGTTGGGGGGGTTGACGCCCTGGGAAGAAGGTGGCTCATCCATTGGTTGTGATGAGGATTTCGAGACTGAAGGTTTCTCTTTAAGCGTAGTCCCTTCATCAGCTGGTTTGGATGAAGCAGCCTCAGCAGAGGAGGATGGAGCAGGAGCTGCCAACACCAAAGCCTTCAAAGGAGAGGCTGAACTTTTCTGAGAAATCCGAATAAACCATCAGCACATAGAAAAGTTTCAAGTATAGAAAGGTATGTTTGTGAGTAAACTAATTTAATTACCTTTTTCCTAACGATGAGAATAGTGTCATCATCATCATCATCCTCCAAAATGGGAGATGTTGAGGCTGGCCGTTTGCGGCTTGGGGCACTTTTAGCTGCAGTGGGCTTGGTAGGAAGAGAAGTAGATGGACAAACAGACTGTTTAGTACGAGCAGAAGAGGAATGACTCCTAATGGACACAAGGGTGATCAAAACAGGAGAAGTGGAAGAAATGTCTGGCTGATTCAGTGAATGGAAAGCACGATTGGTATCAGTTGCAAACAATCTGCGCTTCACTGATGGTTAGAGTTGTTCAAAAGGAGGATGGATAGCATGGCTAGGATTGAAGGTTCGTCAAAAGAATATTGCGAGCATCTATAACTTCTGCCTCTGCCTTATTAATGGTGTGGAAGCGATCTATCAAATTTCTTGAATAACAAGGGGGAACATGCCAAGTTTGGCCAAAATCAAGTTGACGAGCAAAAAATTGGGGAGCATATATTTCAACCCCAGCTTTGGCATTGGTTCCAGTCAAAATATCATGGAACAACTCCCTCCCGGTCAAAAATTGAACCCAAACGAGCAGAGAGGTGCTCGCACTGTCCAGGGTGTGGGGGTTGCACATAATCTAGAGTTAAAAAGGGAGGAAAAGGAAAGAAAAAAGGAATTGAATTCAAAGTATAAAAGAATGAAAAGATGTCCCTTCTGGACATATTTACAGGGCTCAGTGGGTCAATAGCTAGCCCATAGCAGCTAGCAGAATGAAGGAAAAAGGATAGAGCACCAAGTGATGGAAAATAGGCTCTCAACTACATTTGAGTGAACCAAAGAAGCCCACTGCCAGTGGGAGATACACCATTCTTCAATTGGAATTGGAGAGAAGTCATGCCTCTATAGAGGACAACCAAAAAGAAAGAACACAAATTCAAAGGCCTACCACGCGTCAATTCGTGCGCTATGGGTAAATAGCTCATAGAAGGCTTCATGCTTGGCACACACAGAATATATTTACAAAGCCAAATCTGAAGAAAGGTCACACGCTCAGCATGGGAAGACTCAGTGCTCGAGTGATTATAACAGCTTTGCAGGCTTGAATAGGACTCGGTGAGTTTTCTGTCAAATTTTGGGGCGACACCAGAAATCAAAATCCTAGGGAAATGGTATCGTCCAAAGGTGGCAGATTTACTGAGGCCCCAACATCCCTTAAAGTAATGGACATGGCACCAAGAGGGAAAACAAAAGTATTATACTCAGAGGACCAAAAACTTAAAGCAATAGAGAAAAACGCTGGATCAAAAGTAGGGGGTTGAAAAGAGATTTCTATCAAATCAGAAATCCTAGCACTATCAAAAATTGCCTTGGTAGGACCATGGCCCACAAGGCGAGCATGCCATCTACGGAAAACAATATCAGATTTAGGCCAAGTGCGAATACCTCTTTCGCGAAGCAACCTTAGCGGCAAAGAGTTTAGAAATGGAGGGCCTTGAGTACAAGGGAACAACTGGCCCACCGCCACTTGTTCAACGGTCTCGGCGTTGTTGAATGAAGGACCTAGATAGAACTCATTAAGTTCGGTATTGGCTGGTGCAAGGAAGTTCGGAGTTATATACGGCCGAGTGAGGATTTTCTGGAAGTCTTCGAAACTGAAAGAGTCACCAGATTGGGATTGTGAAGAAGCCATTGGGAACGAAATAAAGTTTTGTTGAAGTTTGCTTGAGAAACGTAGCAGATAAGCAAGAAGATGAACAGTAATATTGCGAGAGAGAAGCGCGAAACAATGAGGCGTGATTTAGTGGTGCGATAAAATGACATGTATTTGGGGGTTATAAGGGTTTGCAATGTCGCACCTTTTCAGGTTATGGAAGAAAATAATGATTGAAATTTTTGAGAACTTCAAATGTTGCTGGGAAACACAAAATGAATATGACAAAAATTAATAATTGGTATTAATTCTGCCATATTGGGGGGTAATTGTTGACACGCTAAAAGTGCAGCCCAAATCGAATAGCTCAAAGAATGAAGCCCAACTAGGCAATTCAAGATAAAGGCCAAAATAGGATTACTAATGAATGTAGTGGAAGCCCACGAATACGGTAACACCATCACCCAAACTTGCAAAATACCCAAGATCTGAGCGGATGAAGTGCCTTGCAGTCGCCCAGGGTTATGACCCTGTTCTCGCCCAAACTTTTGAATCGCCCAGGATCTTAGCAAACATAAGATGTTATGGTTATTCAAAAGTGCAGTTATCGAAGCAATTATTAAGTAATTTTATCACGTTCCACGATTCAAGGATGTTCAGTTGAAGACGGTTGAACGACAAAGAGTAGTGACAGCAGTTAGAGACGGCAGTTCCACGATAAGTTGGCCACCATGAAGAAGTGAGCAGTTATAAAGCAATTAAACAGTTTCTAAACGGTTGATCACGAAGAGATCATCAAGGGAATATAAAAGGAAGAAAAGACATAGAGCAAAAGGACCTTGAATCAAACACTCTCAAATAGAGAATATGTAATTTCAATTTCTTAGTTTAGACTTAAACATTTCTTTTCAGTACTCGTGTGCTTGCGCCCCTTAGAGGCATTCTGTTTAAGTTCTAATTGTAAAGTCTTCGCCAATAAAACACCATTTTTTGGGATTTTGTCTCAAGAGGTTTGTTCCTTACACAATCGTCTGATCCCTTTTTAATTGTTAGCGACTATCCGCGCAAAACACTTCCATTAGATAGAGATAGACTTGCTCTCCTTTCACATAAATTATGATATTATAATTAATATGAGTGTTAAAACACCAATAAATGTAGCGGTAAATGATAAATACAATTAAATGAGTAACTTAATTTCACATTTTTTGAAGTATATCACATTACACTATATAAATTGGTATTGTAGCACCAATAGTGTTATATATCATTAATCACTTAATAGTTAATATATTAGAAAATGTAAAATTTACTTACATTTTTTCTAATACGTCCTACATTAAGCCTTTGTTTGAGCTCCATTTTAATGAAGTGGGGAAAATGTATTTTGGAATAGTATTATTTTTGGAGAATGTGTTGTTGAAAATAAGAAAAAAAAATTGACTTAACGTATAATATTATGTTATTAAAAAATGTATAGTTCAAAATAAGAAAGAAAAAAATATATTGAAATTAAAATGGAGTCTAAATAGGGACTAAATAATGATTTGAATAAAAGTAGTTCATATTTATTAACAACAAGACACTTTAAATAAAAACATATTAGAAAACTAAAAAAAAGAACTATACAGTTAACAATGAATGTGACCTCAAATTTGAGACAATGAAAAAGGAAAAAATGAAAAATAAAGTAAAGCTATCTTTACAGAACGAGAGAATAATGTATATAAATTGTCCAAGTTCAACGAATCCCTAATTCATGATTCAATAAAATCGTGATGCATAATGTATCGAACAATGAATTATGGATTTATTCATGAGAATTAGGGATTTAATCATGATTTTAATTTCTAAACTAGTGTACCTCTTAGTCCATGTTTAACAATTCAATTTTTTTTTTTTACATACTCATTTTTATCCACATATTTATAAAATAAAATATTTTACATTTAAATCCAAAAATTTTCTATTTTTAATTACACATTCTACTAAAAATCACTATTTAAAACTTTATTTTCTCTAAATAATGTTTGTTAAAGTTACCATAAAATACCATCCCGCGGACAGCACACGGTCAAAGAAGAGCGCAACAAACCGACAATACCGTGTCCCCTTCATGCAACTCCCCACTTTATCCCCACCAAGCGCAAGTGCAGGCACACTGCATTAAAGGGACCAATTGTAATCCAAACAGACCGTTATTCTCGAATCCACACTATTTCAGTATTTGCTTTTCAGTTTTATCATATCTTCTTCCTTTGTTTCCTAATTTCTTTGAGATCTCAATTGATATTCTAAAAAATCATCCATGGCCCATGCTATAATTTAGTTACGGAAAAACACGCACTTTTACTATTCTTAAAGAAAAAAGAATTTTGGAAAAATGTGGAGGACTTATTTTAATTTGTTCAAACATGGCATGGTGCCAGCAGGTTGCGCGAAGATGGGTGGATTTCGCTTTGTTGGATCCACTAGACTGATGGGTCCGTCATTTTGTTTCTATAGTTCCACCGTGGGCGACGGAAGAGAGAATGGTGATAATTGTAATGGAAATGGAAATACGATGACGTATGCTGAAGCAAAGAGGCTGATGAGGCTGGTGAATGTGGAGGCATTGAAGGAGAAGCTGGGGATGAATAATAAGGAAATGATTTTATACTCTGAGCTTTTAAAAGCCTGTGAGAGCTTTGGTATAGCCAAGTCGGCCGATGAGGCCGCCGCCTTCGCTCGAGTTCTTGATGAGGCCGGCGTTATTTTACTCTTCCGCGACAAAGTCTACCTGCACCCTGATAAGGTTATATAATTTTTACCATTTTTATCTGTATCTATAAGTTTATGTATCCCCTATTCTTTTTTTGTGTATGAGAGAATCAAGAATGGTCGCAGATCAGTTTATAAAGGGTCTGATATACCAGAATAGATTTGTGGGGTATGCATGATTTTCGCTTTATATTTGTGTTGATGGTGGGGCTTAGGAAAAATAAAGATTAATTCTTGCTCCAAATCCAAAGGCAAAAGTTATCAAAACCATTATAATGAGATGATTGATGGATCATAAAAGGGCAGAAAAAATTAGATTACTGACTTGCCATACAAAACTGCAAATAGCTGTCTTTTGTTTCCATGTTTTCCTTTTATATCTCCCTATCTTCCATCAATCCTCCCCCCCCCCCCCCCCCCCCCCCACCCCCCAATGGGTAGTTTGTTATTAACATCTAGGAATCTTTGGGCTCGATTCTGTTCAGTGGCTATTAGGTAATGTTTTCATTTTAAAAGCCTTTATGAACTAAAATTAAAAATCTGCACCTGTTATTAGTGATGCTAATTTTTGTCATACCAATAGGCTAAATCAAGCTTTCAGTTGCAAAAGCTCTGATATGAGTGTTGTCGGAGGTATTAACTCGTGATTTGAATGAATTATCATCTTATTGAATTCTTGCAGGATCAATTATGAAAGTTTGCTTGTTTTTAAATTAAAGAATTTAGTTGGACTTTTCTTGTTTATTTTTTCCATTTTCAATAAGCAAGTGTCCTATTTGGCACCGAAAGAGGAATTAAAAAAATAAAGTCTGAATGAAGCTGATGGTCTATTGTCATGCTCCGTGAACAAAGATGTCAATGATTTTCTGAATTTAGTTCGATTTAAAGGTTCTAATTAGTTTCCAGGTAGTTGCCAAACACAAACCTGAACCCTTGAATTTTCTCAGCTCCTGTGATGACCTTGAGATGAATTGAATTCTATATTAAGTGCAATCAAGAGGCACTTCAGCATATAGATATTTTTCCCTGTGAAGCTATCAATAAATTTCCCTCTCATGGTTGATATATGTGGCTTCATCTGTTTTTGTGGTTTTCTATTTCAGGTGGTTGACCTTGTTAGAAAGGCAGTGCCTCTCGCACTTTTACCTGAAGATGACCCGAGTAAGTATGAACTGAAGAAGTTGCAAGAGAAGAAAGAGGAAATTGATGTTCTAGCACATAAGCAGGTACGTCGTATTTTGTGGTCCGGGTTAGGGCTTGCCGTGTTCCAAGTCGGGCTTTTCTTTCGTCTAACATTCTGGGAATTTTCTTGGGATGTTATGGAGCCAATTGCATTTTTCTCCACCACAACTGGGATAGTCATAGGCTATGCTTACTTCCTGATCACTTCAAGGGACCCGACTTACCAAGACCTGCTGAAGAGACTCTTTCTCTCAAGGCAGAGGAAGCTAATCAAGAAGCATAATTTTGACGTTCACAAGTTTGTGGAATTACAGAAGAAATGCAAATTACCTGTGCACACATGTGTCTCTCTCAAAAAGCAGATGGGCATAGTAGAAGAACCAGAGGATCTTTTACCTGGCCATTGAAACCATGTAGTTGCTACAGCTTCTTCAATCTTACATTTTAAAATATATTTAGTTTTGGAGTCAACCAAAAGCTCCCATTTTCTTTGAGGGGGACTTGTATATTTCTTGCTGGCTTCCTGAGCAAGATCTTGAAATTGGACACCGGTCTTTTAAAGTCTTTTTTCTAGATAACATGGAAAGGATTAATGCTGACAAGTGACAATTCATTTTGTTAAGGTTCTAACTATCAACTGACATATTATTTTGTATCCAGATACAGATTTCACATGAATTAGATTCATAATTTTTGTTTTCTTATCTGTAAAGTGCTAATTATGTTGCAAAATTGTCTAAGCAGGTGCATTTTTAAAAATAATTTGTCCTTGCATATTTGAACTTATTAGGAGTTCAAATAAATCAATACGATACAAGAGTTATGATGATGGCTGGTTGCATATATTGTTCTGGATTTATTTCTTACTCTAGCAAGATGACAAACAAAAAAAATGTCGCTCTTAGTCTCCTGAATTCCCTTCCTTTTGGAGAGTCTTGTTAGATATGAATAAGTTGCTGTTAATATGGAAATGTGTTCTTGAAATGTTAGAATTACCCCGACATGAGTTTGTTTACTTAGTTGATCATGGTTATACATGCAAGGATGGTCATTATTAACTTGAGGACGATGTGTTAAAGATGCATTTTAAATAATTAAGTTTATTTTTCTCTCTTAGATTTTATGATTCAACATGGTACCAGAGCATATGAAGGTTCACAATTCAAATTTTGCTACTATCTATTTATGAAAATTGTGTACGTACCATGTATTGATCGAAAAATGAGTTCGGGATGCACATGAGGGGGGTTTCTTCAAGATATAATTTAAATAATACATTATTTTTCCTCTGATAGTTCAGATTTTTAGAAGAGGTGATTCAACTTACGGAAATCAGATGTCTTTTTAATGGGGATGCAGGAATGGGGACCATGGTAGGCTCCCTACAATTGAAAAAGGAAATACAGAATCATCATTTGGACTATAAAAAGAAAATAATTCCTTACAGACATCTCAACCTGGGATATCGGGCTTTTGACGTAGTGGTGGTGACAATGTTTTTCATCTCTTACACTGCAGCCTGTTTTAGAAATCTACATGTGCTCTAAGTCAGAATCTGTAACGGGTAAATCTAGCAGCCTCGTACAAGAGGCATTTTCATTTATATTACATTCCCTCAGTTGCTGGTAGTCAATCAAATTGTAGTTGTTCTTCTCTGTAATATGGTTCAATTGATAACCTTCTTGAGAAGAGATTATTATGGATAAAGCATTTGCCAGTTGAGTTTTGAGTGTCACTGTTTCTGCTAGAGCTTCATTTAACTCGGATTGCAGTTGGAGAATCTGCATCTGGAGGGATGAAATGAAGCCAGCACAGCCATAAACCGGCTCCTTGAGCCTTGTTGTGGCCTCGTATACCAAGCTCATCGCAGCGTCTCCTCGATCATGTACTGGAATCTCCTGCTGAAACAAAACATGTCAGATGAGAAAAACTTCAGGTATGCTATCATTCCCCAGAGTAAAACTGCTGTTCCAGTTTCTTGTCTATAAATGCAGCATCACCATAGTATGAAAGAGACTGAACATTGTTGTATCCAATACCATTTGATGGATAATCGACATGTACTATATTATCACCATATACAGAGCACCAGCATAATGATGATAAAACCTATCATATTCGAGTCCATTGATAAATTAGTATGATGACATTTCACTCCTTGGAGACTATTGAATTACCTCATCTAAAAGCTTAAGCTATTACGCACGGAACTCGTTTATCTATTCAAATTTAGTCCTTCAACACATGCAACTTTGAAGGTGTCTGTAGTGTGTGACATATTGGAATGGTGCATGTAGTAATGAAGAATGAGATTAAGACTAAAGATTATTTACTTGTAACATTTTACTGATGTTGCTGGCACCAAAGACTCGATGAACAGCTGCAAATTTCTGAGGTTCAGATGGCGGAAAGTAGGGCAAGAAGATGCAATCTTTGGTGCACCTCCTGCGGAGGAGCTTGCATGCAGCACAAGGCATAATGTTTTTGCTATATGATTCCATTGGAAGATGAGAATGAGAGCTTTTTTTAGCTTAGCTGAACTTGCAGGGCTCTGCTGCTATTTATTAGTACACCATCATGCAGTCACATTGTTAAGGAAATTATCTGGAAGAACAATCTTCTGTATCTTTGCACTCCAATTGGTCCTTGTATTTTGTTTTAATTATACTGTCAAATTCACGGAGATTCTATCTACCAAATGGAAATTGCTAGAGCTGGGGAGATTTTTTTTCATTAAATATTTATGGGTAAATTAGGTCTGAACTCCCTAATCTTTCGCATAATCTCACTATAGGTCCTCAACCTTCGAGAAGGTTTTGTGTTGCTAATCTATTTAAATCTATGAATTTGTGTCCCCATGTGATTGAAATCATCAATATAGACGTTAAAATTGCACATAGCTTTCACTTGACTCACCAATTAGACAGCAAAATCATTAAACCACTTAACATTTATCTCCAATTCAACTTAAAGTCGTGTGTTATTTTATGTCTAAATTGATAATTTTCATCACGAGTCATGAGAAGACCCAAATTCATAGATTTAAATAGGCTGGAGGCCCAAAATCTCACTTTTGAAAGAGTGAGAAGCCCAACCCAAATTTATCCTATTCTATAATTGACACCAGCAATATTTGATCCTGAAATGATATTTGAATCCAATAAGCATGTGACTTAACAGGACATTTGGAGAACATGATATCTAAGCACTGTGAATAGAATTTTGTAGATGAATATTGTATTGATTCGGTATTAAACAAATTTACATCAGATATATTTACAATTTCGTTAAACTAATATTGGATTGATCCTTGGTTGGTATGGGTTTTGTGGCCTGATGCTCGAAGGAAATAACATAAAACACAAGTGGAGGAGTTACGCCTCCTTAACATTTGACGTCGTGATGTTAAGTTGGTTGGATTAGACAGTTTAAGAGTCTGGTCGCCTACAAGCTCAGGACGGTCTTGATCAAAGGAAATGTTCTAAAAGACAAAACTCTAAGCCAAAAAATAACTCAAAACACACTCCCTTTTCAAAAAAAAAAAAATACGCCAATCACTACACTTAGATAAACTTCCGATGGGCCAATGACCCAAATTTATAACGCTTTGGTATTTGAAGGTCGAGATACCGTTGGGCGTTGGTCAAGCAATTACGGTGACTTGTGAGGTACAAAAATTATTAGGAAATAATCGTGTTATAGCTGTATCTATAAGTGATACAAGAGTGATGCATCCTTCAAAGTTTGAGGTATTGATATCAAGCTGGTTGGACTGAATAATAGGAGCACAGAAGACCAACTGCCAACTATTTTTGTCTTCTTACTGTGCAATTGGGTGATAACCAAGAAATTAAAGTGGGCAGTGCCTTCCCCACATGTGCATGTACCTGATATTTTATCAAACAAAATCAGACAAAAAATCGAGATATCTAGGCGTGGGCCCCATTCAATGTAACTATCGACGACATTTTCAACCTGTCTAATCATATATGTATTTTTTCTATAATATATAATTATAGTATCTTATAGAAAAATTGTAACTACGGTCTGAAATCTTACATTTTATTGTAATTTATACTTAAATCTTTTAGAGCATGTTTGGAAGTGATTTTGAGAATTAATTTTTTGATCGTTAGGAGAAAAGTAGGATCCACATGTGAGAGAAGAAGTCAAATATGACGGCTAAAATAGTGAAATAACGATCAAAAAATTAATTTTTTGGGAGAAAAAATCGTTCCAAAACAGCCCTTTATTTGTGTCAAACATAATCTCAACCTATTTCATTAAGTTGCAGCCGAATGACAAATGGACGGATTTCATCCGCTCCTAGTTGACCCAAAAAATTGTCTTTGATAATAATTTGAAAAATAATTTGAATTTTAAGATATATATTAATATGGAAGGTTTCCTTCCACTTAATACAATCTCAAAAAATTCTCTCAATTTCAAATGTTAAAAAATAAAACTCTAAATCTCATTATCAATTGATGAAAATTGCAACATGCATTACCAAATAGTGGTAACAAAATAAAATAAAAGGTTTTCAAAAAAAGATAGCACGGTGATTAAAAATATTTGCATCATCGAATATTTTTCCATAAACAACCATACGTAGCAATACCTATAATGAAACAATTTTAAAAAATTGGACATGATATTTAATGAAAATATCTGGTAACAATATGCAATATCATGTAATTTTGTAATTTATGAAACACGAGATGAAAGAAGAGATGCGGATGACTCAAATGTAGAAGCTTCACAGAAGATTAATTATCATTTTGATACCTTCATTTATGGAATTGATATCGAAATTAATGAAAATTGAAAAGTAAATAAAATGAAATGGCCTTAAATATCACTATAAAAAGAGAAAATTAGGTTGAACCATATCCTTCAGGTTCACTTTTCAAAAATCAGGTCATGCATAAAAATTCTTGACAAATCAGGTATTTTATTCTTAAAATTATTCAATTCAAATATATGTTTAAATATTTATTTTACGATTTCACAAGTTCGGGATAATCTTACCTACTTCAGGGGTATTTTGAGAGAAAAAGATTCATTGTTCCTATTATAGACACAAACAATTCTTACTATGTCTTTCGTTATTTTAAACCATTTTCATTGAAAAAATTTACATTCTCATCGTGATTTTAGAGAGAATTGTGACTAGTGATGTAGATTGAGGCTAGCTTTCAAAGATCATTTTGACGAGTGACATTTCTTATAGATTTTGATCAAAAGGTGCAGCAGTGTGTTGAATAGTGAGAAGTAAATTTTCTTTGATTCATATTGGTATAGATATAATATTACATAATATGTTGTGTGATTAACGTCAAGTTGTGACTCCAATATCCCCAAATATTGTTACTCGTGTTCATGTAGTTGAAGATGATCGATCCCTGACAATTAATGTGAAAGTAATTTTACTATTTTAATTACGACCATTTCGTGTATGATTAATGTGGGATTATAACTCTTGTATCCCGTATTATTGTGACCTTTGTGGAATGTATGCGACTTTCGCTTATTTTATTTCAACGCATATATATATCATATGATGGTGTCGTGTATAAAAAGAGTTGCATTTCCAAATATATTAAAATGCAAAATCTTACATAAATATGAAGTACTGAGTGTGGCCAAACGTGCCATAAGCTGAATATTTTCCAAGCAAACAATATATCTTAAGTCTGTTTTGCCATCTAAATGATTTGTGACATGAGATTGAAAAGGATAAGCAGTTATTTAGGTTTTTCAAATATCACAAGACTGTCTTGATCAATCCCTAATTCATTGTTGATGGTTAATATTGAAATTCACAAAGCATTTTGAATTAACATTGTTAATTTGAAATTTATTAAGATATTGATGAGATAACACTTCAACTTAGTTTAAGTTGTGAGGTCATAATTCTTCGAAGAAGTCACTTTTTTAAAAAAGACACTTTATATTATTCTTGTGGATTTTTTTATAGTGCTCATGTTTGGTTAATGTTTATAAACGATATAGAATCGATTAAATCATTTTTTATTTCTACATTTCGTTGAATCCACAAATAGTATGTATTCATTCATCGTTATTTTCTATCTACTTATAATAATTTAAATTAAATATATACATCTCCCGAACATATTGTTTTGCATGTATAGTAGATAAGGATGCGAACTAGAAAAGTATTGACACGTGGGCTATGATGTTACCATGGTCAAATTGGTTACTATGGTTAAATTGGTGCAAGAAAAAAAAAAAGAAAAAGAAAAAAAAGAAAAAAAAAGATTTATATAATCCTTTAGCATTTTCCTGGTCTTCCATAAAGTTTTTCTGTAGAGATTGTGTGGGGATTAATGATCTTCATAAATCCATAGGGAGATTAGAGGGCCTTTTTTTATTTTTTATTTTTTTTCTCAAATTAGTACACTATAGAGTAGGTGATGAATTTCTTGTCCATGACTTTTGTATATATTATTAAGTCGATCTTTCTAGCTCATGATGTTAATTTACTTAATCATATATAAACACGAGCTCAATAATTATTGACATTCAAGTGTGAACATTTGATATAGAGCTCAACACCCTAACGATTTTTGTCAAATATTATTTTTTCTCGATATTAATTTATATCACAATGTCAAATTCATGAACCGACAAGCCCGAATAGATACAAATACTACCATATATGATAATCAAGACAACAATAGCTTAGCTATTTTAACATAAGTATTCTAAATGCTTTGCCAACAAATGAAAACATCACACCAGTAAGGTGAAGTGGAGTTACATATTGTACAACTATGATTTAATGTATGTTCATGTGCCTAATCATTAAAATTTCATGTTTGATTGTTACCTAAACTAGACATCACATTGCACGAAGTTGGTAGTAACCTAGATAGTA